GAAGGGGGAGGTGATAGCAATGATGACTGTATATCCTCACTCAAGGGGAGTGAATAACAGAATCGTAGGTGAATGGATATACTGGGGGCAAGGGTGGGACAGGCAGGGGATAAAGGGGAGCTGATTATCAAAGAGTTCAAGAAAAAAGAAAATGTTTTAGTAGCAATTGTACAATAACACCTGATCCATTTGAATTATCAAATGTTATGACATCTGTAAGAGTTCCCTATAAAATGATTAATTTTAAAAATTATTAGGGACCATCTGAAGAGACCAAAATGTTTGTAAAAATAATAGGAAAGTGTATTGTTAAAGCCAGGGGGCTAGTCACAAGGCCAGTAATAAGAATGAACAAGTATCATGAAAATTTTTTTGAAAATATATTTCCCAAAGAACAGAAAGAAATAGTAGGGGGGTCAGGAGAAAAGTGTAAGCCAATACCCAGACCAGAAGATTTATGTATATTTAGATTTAGAAGAAACTGAATTAAAGAAGTGGAGAAAAGAGAGAGGGAAAGAAAAATAGAGAAGGGATAAAGGCAAAAGAAGAAAAAGAAACTTTGTTAGTACATTGCCAGGGCTTCTGACTGTCCTCCATTTTTCAAAAAACGCCTCTGACAGTAATAAAACTTTGATTTTGCTTAAAATAGAATTTTCATTTGTTTGAGATAGTCAGTTTTGTTGTTTTCACTATGACAGGGGAAAATAGGAGAAATAAAATATATTTTAGAAGGCTAATGAAATAATTCCAGAGTGAGGGTGGATTGTTGTATAGCATTAGGGTAAAACAGGGGTCCTCACACGATGGCCCGAGGGCCACATGCGGCCAGCTGAGGACATTTTTGCAGCCCGCTGGATGTTTTTGCCCCGTTTTGTTTTTTACTTCAAAATAAGATATGTGCAGTGTGCACAGGAATTTGTTCATAGTTTTGTTTTTTTTTAAAACTATAGTCCGGCCCTCCAAGGGGTCTGAGGAACACTGAACTGGCCCCCTGTTTAAAAAGTTTGAGGACCCCTGGTACTATAAAATATCCTATAAGGTGGAATGTATAGGAATGGCTGCCAATGATCCCAATTCTTTTGGTCTAAACAGTTGAGTAAATGTTTCCAGTTACCTCCATGGGTAAAGGCCAGGCTTGGGGATGAGAGCTGTTTTGGAAGAATCCTGGTTGCATTGCTATTAAAGTGCTCTGTGGTTGGAATTCACCAGACACTCCAATTGGATCTGCCAATGTACTTCCTAAAGATTACAACCTTGGAAATTCTGAGGCAGCTCTACTTTGTTCTACGACGTCACTATGAGTTGAAACCCACTCCAGGGCAAATTGGATAAACATCCAACTGGAAAGGTTGGTTGAGCAGACTTTGTTTTTTATTAAGCCGGGGCTTACAAAATTGATTGAGTGTGCAAAGATTTGGGACTGATCACAGAAGATAAGGACGAGGTAGTTGGGACCACGTCACAACCTCCATGCAGCAGTCGTGCTAAGACTTAATTGGACAGCGCACGAACGCTATGAGGGGACCTTGAGAGCTTCCTGAGGGGTGCAGTTGCCAAGGGAAAGGCCCAAGTCTTAAAGGATGACTAGTGATCACCGAAAGCTTGGAGGCAAATGGGCAACTTTCCCGACAGACTCATGTACGCAGAGGCGCGGGAGCTCAGGCCAAGACACTACACTGATGGAAATGACAGAAGCCAGGAGGTGATGGAGGGAGGGCCGCTCGCGCCTCCACTCCAGCCCTAGGGGCCCGGAAGCCATGAGGACAACCGTCTTTACCCGGATGTTTCCCTCGTACAGCAGAAGCGCCCGGAAGCCAGGAGGTCAGTCATCTTTAACCGGACGTTCCTCTCGTACAGCAAAAACGAGAACGCGCAAATTCATGCTAGCAACTGCAAGTCGCCGCAGAACAGTCGGGACGTTCTGAGGCCTGCGGCCAAGTCTCGCGAGAGCTCAGTCTCACCAGCCCAGCATGCCCCGCGCGGCGGCCGCCGCTGCCGCCGCCGCCGCCGCCGTCTCCGCCGCCCCTCGGCTTTAAGGCGGGAGGCTGGGGGAGGGTAGCGGCACTGGCGCTGCCGCCATGTTGTGTGTGAGGCGGCTGCGGTAGGAGCCGCGGGAGCCAGCGGGCGTGCGGAGCGGCACGCGGCGTAGGAATTAGCCTCTCTGCGAGTGGCCCCGAGCGGCGGCGGCGGCGCCATGAGCGGGGGAACCCCTTACATCGGCAGCAAGATCAGCCTCATCTCCAAAGCGGAGATCCGCTATGAGGGCATCCTCTACACCATCGACACTGAGAACTCCACCGTCGCCCTCGCTAAAGGTACACTGGGCGGGCTTCGGGGGGGTGGCTGGGAAGAGCCGCGCCGGGCGCCTGCCGGGCGCTGTGCCCCGCTCCCGGCCTGCCGGCCTCCTCGCTCCCCCCGCCTGGCGTCTCCCGGGAGGCCGCTCTTCCGCCTGACTCCGGCGAGCGCCGGGGTTCGGCCTCCCCCGGGCTTCCGAGGGAGCACCGCGAAGGTCCCCGCCCTCCGCCCGGCCAAGTCCAGGGGCGGGCGGGGCGGCCGGGAAGTCGAGAACACCAAGCGACGCGTCTTCCAACTCCGAGATTCGGTGGTTCCGTCCCCTGAGCAGGACACAAAGCCTGTTACCGCCTGCCATGAATTTCGTGCTGTTTGTTGATTAGATAGCATCTTTTGTTTGTTTGTTTGTTTGTTTGTTTGTTTTCTTGCCTTCTTAATTTCCATGCGTTGAGCTATTCCCGTAAGCACTGTGCCAAAACTTTGGGTTTGCTCTGCGACGCTGACGATCTCAAAATGCCATTGGTACCACCGGGCAGAGCACATCCCACTTGCCTTAAAAATGGTTATTTGACTGTGCAGCTGTGTCGCGAAGCCGGTGCTGCAGCTGTCTCAAGTGCACATTAAAAATGTTTGGTGCTGCCCCTTTACCCTACTATTAGAAACCCAGGGAGGAGAGGGGTCAGGCTGGGATCCGGGACCCTTGAAAAAAGTAGATCTCAGCGGTCCCCGAGAGCGCTGATTGGTCCCTTTGCATGGAGCCTCGCTGGGAAAGGGGTTTTTGGATATGAGGAGAGGGCTCCCACCCCATAGTCACTACCATCTGCCTGGGTTTTGCCCACATTTGCGAGCCCTTTGCTCATCCGGAAAACTAAACCAGCAAGCAAGCACCTGGGTCTTGAAAGAAAACTCACACTAGTTTGGTTAACGTTATGGATGGAATAGCCTGTTCGAGTCGAATGTTAGGAAGAAAAATGGTCCAAATCCGTAAAATAATTTTACCGTTTGAGTCCACAGGGGGATGATTTCACAAGATCAAACCAGAAGTTAGTAACTTTATGGAGCCTCTGGTAGAGACTTTTAATAGCACTGGGTGTTTAGGACCAATCATCTACTTGGATAGAGAATCTGTGTTTCAGAGCTGCCCACCATCACTTTAGGAAGTCTCTGATGTAGCTGAATACAGAGAACCCAGTGGCCTTGGTGCTTCCTTAGTGGTCACTTTTTTGGAACCAGTTCCTGCAAAACAAATTCCAGCCCACTGTTCCGAAGTAGTATAAGATGATCTGCAGTTGAATTGAGGTGATGGTTGCACAACTCTTGCTATGGAAAATAATGGATTGTGTGCTTTAAAAAATCACCAAGTCTGCTTTTAAAAAGGAGAGCGTACCCCCAAACATCGCTCCCTTCCTTACTAAACATTGCCTCATTAAAACACTTGTAAACTATCTCTTCACCATCTGCATTACTCCCCAGTACCTCAGGGTGCAGGAGAGTATTTAGCAAAGATTAAACATTTGCCCTGTGATGCTTTTTAAATAGCCCAGTCAGTTTTTGCTGGGTCTTGCTTTTAAGTCATCGTAAGTTTCCTTCTTTCTTTTTGTAAACAGATGAATGTTGTCTCCGTTGCTGTCAGGTGCTGCTATAGCAAATACCACACGTGGCTTTTAACTAACAAGGTTATTTTCTTGGATTTTATGAGATTAGAAGCCCCAATTCAGGGCACTGGCTGCATGGGTAGGCTTTGCTTCTCTGGGGGAGGTCCTTGTCCCTTCTGAGCTTCTGCTTCTTACTTCTTCTTCCTACTTCTTTGGCCCTGGTGCTGTGGTGGGTCACACATGGGCCTGCTAACCTCAAGGTCAGCAGTTTGAAACAATCATCTCTTTCTATGCCTGTTAATATTTACATACAACCTTAGAAACCCAGGAGCAGTTCCTCCTGGTCCTATTGGGTCTATTTTGACTTGCAATGACTGAATGGCAGTGAGTTTGTTTTGTATGTTTTGTATCTTTATCTTCCCCCTTTCTACTTTGCTGCTTGCTTCATATGCTTTTTTAAAAAATCATTTTGTTGGGGGCTCATACAGCTCTTAGCACAATCCATACATGCATCAATTGTATAAAGCACATTTGTACATTCATTACCCTCATCATTCTCAAAACATTTGCTCTCCACGTAAAACCCCTGGCATCAGCTCATTTTTCCACCTCCATCCCCGCTTCTCCCTCCCTCATGGACCCTTGATAATTTATAAATTATTATTTTGTCATATCATACACTGTCCAACGTCTCCCTTCACCCATTTTTCTGTTCTCCGTCCCCCAGGGAGGAGGTTATATATAGATCGCTGTAATCTCGGTTCATATACTCTTTTAAATCTCAAAAGATTTAAAATTTACTGTGCTCTGATAATGGTCTCATTAACATACCCAAAAAACCCTGTTCCCCACAAGGCTTGTGACCACAGGTTTATCCCATTGCTTTAAGAGAGACAGCCTTTCTACTCTACAGGCTTTCATAAAGATTATAACGAGTTGCAGGTTCACCGGTCTGACTCTGGGGTCACCTGCTCACTGAGTTGGACTTGACTCCGTGGCAATAAGTTTTGCTTTGTTTTGTTTTGTTTAGTTAACTGTTATATGCTCTGGGAAACAACAACAACAAAGATGTGTGTGTGTGCCCCAATTGATCGTGATGCTTGCTTTATTGTAGTCTGGAACTGAAACCTGAATTTTCCCCTGATATGCCTGTATTGCATTGGGCAAATGCACTGCTCCAAAGACCTTTTTTTTTTTACTGTAAAATCATAGAAATCTTTATTAAAACTGTATCAAGATGTGAAGTTACGGTTTCTCAACATATCTTCCATCTAGGTCCCAAAGGCCTTTTTTAAAGGGTTAGAAAACTAAGCTGTCACCTCAGGACAGAGATGCACCTGACCCAAGCCATGATACTTTCCTCATTGCGAAAACTGGACAATGAGTAAGGAAAACCAACTGCGAATTGGTGCTTTTGAATTAGAGTTGGCAAGGAATCCCCTTTACAAGCAAGGATGCCCTCATCATTCTCAAAACATTTGCTTTCTACTTGAGCGCTTGGTATCAGCTCCTCATTTTTTCCCCTCCTTCCCTGCCCCGCTTCACGAACCCTTAATAATTTATAAAGTATTAATATTTTGTCATGTCTTACACTGTCCGATGTCTCCCTCCTGGTATCGCTACTCTCATTGCCCTGATGGGTTTTTCTGTCCTGGATTCCCTGTGTTTCCAGTTCTTATATGTACCAGTGTACATCCTCTGGTCTAACTGGATTTGTAAGGTGGAATTGGGATCGTGATGGGGGCGGGGGGAGCATTAAAGAACTAGAGGAAAGTTCCATTTTTCTTCGTTTATATACTGTACCCTGACTGGCTCATCTCCCTGCGGCCCTTCTGTAAGGGGATGTCCGGTTGCCTACAGATGGGCCTTGGGTCTCCACTCCGCACTCCCCCTCATTCACAATGATAAGATTTGTTCTTTGATGCCTGATCCCTGATCCCATTGACACCTCGTGATCACACAGGCTGGTGTGCTTCTTCCATGTGGCCTTTGTTGCTTCTCAGCTAGATGACCGCTTATTTACTTTCAAGCCTTTAAGACCCCAGATGCGATATCTTTTTATAGCTGGGCACCATCAGCGTTCTTCACCACATTTGCTTATGCACCCTGCTTCCCCCACCCCCTAAGCCCCCACTTTGTCTTCAGCAATCATGTCTGGAAGGTAAGCATCATGGAATGCCAGTTTAATAGAACAAAGTGTTCTTGCATTGAGGGAGTACTTGAGTAAGGGCCCAATGTCCATCTGCTACCTTAATACTAAACCTATAAATATATGCAGAGTTATATATAAATATATTTACATATGTACATGCCTGTATTTAGACCTCTATAAATGCCCTTTGCCTTCTAGTTATTTCCTCTATTTCCTTTTACTTTCCTCTTGTCCCACTATCATGTTCAGCCTTCATTTGGGTTTCAGTAATTCCTCTCGGTTACATTGCCCTTGATCAAGCCCTACTAGGTCTCCAAACCCAGGGACAAGGGAACAACAAGTGATCCAAAATCAATGGTGAGGAGGGTGTAGAAGGCCTGGTAGGGCTTGATTAAGATTTCATCTTTATGAAGTACCTTTGAAATCTTTTGCCCATTTTTCTGTTATGCATGTCTTTTGTGAGATTTATATATTCTGGCTTTGAATACGTCATTGGATATAGGTACTATAAATAGTCTTTCCCATTTAATGGAATGAACATTCAAAAGAATGAACTTCTGATCTTAATATAGTCATCTTTATTAGTTTTTCCTTTTATGAATAGTATCTCTCTTTTTAGAATAGTATCTTTTTTTTTAAGGAGTTTTTCTTCCCCAGGGTAATGGAGATAGTTTATCTTTTAAAAGCTATTTTGATTTGCTTTTATACATTTAGATCTATAATGTACCTAGATGTGATTTTTTTGTTTGGTGTGAGATAATTAGAGCTTTAAATTTAGTGAGAGGTGTGTGCTTGGTTTGTGTATGGTCCAGATTGCAATTTATATCCCTTATTTAGGTATTACTTATGATTTAAACTTATGTGGAATTACAAAGAGCTCTTGACATTTTGCCTTTTTATGATATGTGGTATTAGGAGACTGGTTTCCCTTGGTACAAAGTCCTTGTTTATGTGGGTTATTTTGACATAATTAACCAATATAATTAAAACAATATTTTGCTAATTTTTATTTTCCTAATTTAGAATGTTATGTAAATATTTTCATTGTATATGTAAAGTATGAATTTAATACAAACAATTTGCCGTTGGCTACTAACATGGTTGACAGTTCAAACCAAACCATGGAAAGGAAGACTTGGTGATCTGTTTTCCTAGAGATTCCAAAAGAAAGCCCTCTGCCAACGAGTCCGTTCTGACTCATAACAAAGCTATGTAGGGTTTCTGAGGTTGTAATCTTTACCGGAGCAGGCAGCCTCAGCCTTCTTCTGAGGAGCAG